AGTTGTTGCCCAGGATGGAGACAATATCACTGTCATTATGGAACTCATCCCCATAATGATCGATGTAAGACCAGTCCTGATTTAGGAAGAAAGCAAGCTTGTTAGCGGTCCCATCGAAAACCCGCTTAAAGGGTGGGGGTGCATTCGGTCTGGCAGAAAGAGGTTGTGGCTGTGGTGCCGTTGCCTGGGCTGCAATCCTTTGGTTCTGGTCTCACACCTATCCTTGGCCAGAGTAAAACGCCCATCCGGTGGGTATTTGGTCAGCTGGTGGGAACCGTGGCTGTGGAGAAGGCTGGTTCCTCGGTGGTGTCTCTGCTGGGTTCGCTGTCTGGTACGAGACAAACCTGGTGCCAGAGAGATGGCTGCTTAAGCTTCAGCAGCAGTAGGCCGGGCTCTCCTGGGAGGGCTTCTTTCACCGATCAGTTTTGTCAAACTCATGGTTGATGGGCTTGAAACTCGGGTAGGTCGGTCCGTCTGGGAAGGTATTTGCAGCGCTGGTTGATCTCGGGCTTCCCATCCAATATTCAGCTGCTCAGATTGGTCGGGTAGTCTGTCGAACGTCTGGCTGTGCATCACAGTTTGATGCTGCCACTCTCCGGTCACACTTAGATCGATTGTTCCAGTTGACCTCCTGTTGTGGTCCGCCAGCAGTCTGCAGAGCTGGCAGCAGATCGGACAGCAATGAGGCTGAGGAAGAACATGGGCCAGTCCTGGAGGCTGGGGAAGGCCCGGATGAGGACTCTGCATCGGAGGCAGAGATAGGGCCAGGGCCATCGAGGAGTGATGTGCAGACTTCGGAGCCTCCAGAGGCTGACAGTAGAGAGGCAGAACAACAGGAGGAGCCTGTTCCTAATGCACGTATGAGAAGAGCTGCCAGAAGGCAGGAGCAATAAAGCAGAGAAGATGACTCAGGAGTAGGGCCAAGAGATGATTGGCCCCTCCCATAAGGCTTAAAAGATCAGCAACGGCTCTTGGCCTCTTTGCCAGAAAACAACATTGAGAGAATTGCTTCTTGTTTCACTGTATTCATTTCTTGTTGGCGTCTTCTGCTTCTGAACTTTTGCCAAGAAAAGCCTTTGGCAGTTTGTCTAATTATCTCAAGGTCGGTGATAAACTGAGGAATGGTGTTTTGAAGAATTTGCTTTAATTTAGTTTGGACTATGCTGAGAATGAGTTAATTCTCAGCTGTTCTAAGTCTGTTTGTTTTTGAACTGTTTGTATTTAATATTAACTACTTGGGCCTGGGTCACAACACCTCCATTCCAGGATAGTAGCTCTTGATTCTTGGGAAGTGGTGAGGGAGTGATACATCAACGGGTCTGGAAGTGTTGCTTGTCCCAGCAGGTCCCTCTCCATTAGCTGGATCTCACCTCCGGGTCTCCATTTGACTTGGGTCTTGGGATGGATGTCCACCTGATGTTCGATGTCCTCTACCACAGCCGCTATTTGCAGAGTCTCTATGGGGATCGGCAGCCTCACACAGGGTCCTCCAGAAAGTTTACATTCTCGGGCATCTTCCTCAGGCTTCTGTCTCTTCTCCATCTTCCCTGAGTCTCTTCTTCTGCTTGACTGGATAGATCGGGTAAGCAACCAGGGCTCAGGATCCTGGATAGCGATCTTCAGTGAGGAATCGAAGGAAAAACTTTTCTTTTAAAAGAGTCAAAATAATGACAAGCTTCCAAGTAACATGTCTCATGAAATAAAATCCATTTTCCATTAGAGTATTTATTAGGAACATATCAAATTGGCAAGGATTTGGTGTAATTCCGACTCTGACCTGGATCTGGAATTATACCCAATAAAAAGCAAAAGACAGAAACATCCCCCCCTGAGTCACAATCTCCAATCAATTCTCAGGCCATCAGTCCGGTGACTCCAAACTCTACCTTCCTCCAACTGCAGGCATCTTCTCTATTCCCACAGGAAGGAATGTCACCTAGACATAACATTATCCCTTTAACTCTATAACCCCCTTCTCAACAGTTAGAGAGTGGCGAGCCTGAAGTAATACTAAATTCCTTTACCTAAAAGCTAAGAAATAATAGACAATAAAAAATAGCTACACATATGTCATCTTCAGGTGAGAGTTAAAAAATCTTCAAATCAACACTCTTAGTCTTAAAACCTAATTACAGAGAAGATCACGCAATAGATGGCTTATATGACTAGATCTAACACAATAGCCACTTCTTGTTTAGTGATTACCTCACTTAGCAACCACTTACAAATAAAGTGGCAATAAAGGGTAATAAACAAGAAGAAACATGACAGTTTAACATGAAGCTTGTGAAAAAGGCAATTGAAGAAAACAAAGGAATTAATAGAGTAAAATGCAAGCTTATAAATACAGTTTTTCAAAAAAGACGACCCATCTTGAAAAGAAGCCCTATCACGTTTTTGGGTGCATGCGATCAAATTAAGCCCCACCTACAAAATTAGCCCTAATTAAGACCCCACCCACCCCAGGGTGTAGGGAGTGGGGCGAGGCACACAGATAAAAAATAAACTAGGGTGGGGATGGTGGTGGTGGAGCTGCCCTACTTACCAGGTCTCGCACACCCCTAACCCGACACATACCTCACCTCCTGCAGCCACTTGCCGCCACTTGCACACATCGCCCTGGCCTCCTTTTCGCCCTCAGATGCCTGCTGGCATCTATTATTTGCAGCCAATAACAGAGCTCCGGATCAGTCCGGAGCTATATTATCAGATGCAGAGGGCTTTCCAGAAGGCATCTGCAGCCGATAACAAAACTCCGGATTGATCTGGAGCTCTGTTATTGGCTACAGATGCCTTCTGGCAGGCATCTAAAGGCGAAATGGAGGCTGGGGCAATGCGTGCGAGTGGCGGCAAGCAGCCGCAGAAGAAGTGGGCCAGCAGCGGGCTCCTGCTGGGCGGAGCAGTCGGTGTCACCACCGCGAGGTGACAATAATTAGAAACCTCCAAAAAGAAGGTTTCTTCTTAGCCATTTTTTCAGGGGTCAAAAGAAAATAAGACCCGGCCTTCTTTTTGGAGAAACACGGTACAAGAAAGAAGGGTTTTGCACTAAAATGTGAAGATGGCTTTGTGTGTAGAACAAGACAGGAAATGTTAGAAATAATTGGAAAATTTTATTCAGAGCTATACAAAGATCAAGATTACTCAAAAGTAACAACATCCACGAAAGGGGAAATGCCAGGTATCTACTCTAGTGGAAGAGGTATCAAGTGCCATAAAGACAATGAAAAATGGCAAAGTTTCAGGAAATGACTGTTACGGTTGAAATGCTGAAAGCTGGTGGTCACAATTTACACAATACTAGCAAAACTATAGTATCGAGATGCTTAAGAGAAGAAAAAATACCTGATGCAAGGAAAAATGTGAAAGTGATTCTTATACATAAGAAAGGACCCAAGATGATTTAAAGAACTATCGTCCAAAAAAACCTCTTTCAGTCATCTACAAGGTTTTCACCAAGATAATAACAAAAAGAATATTGAGAAGTTTAAATGATGCACAGCCAAAGGAGCAGGCAGGGTTCAGAAGTGGTTACAGCACAATGGATCACATCCAGTTTGTTCAGCAAGTCATTGAAAGGCACGAGTACAACATGCCTCTGTTCATGACTTTTATTGACTACAAAAAGGCATTTGACTCAGTATTCCAACAAGCAATAATTAAGGCATTGCTCAACCAAAGCATAGACACTGCTTACATAAACTTATTATAATCAATTTATGAAAAAAACAAGGGCAACAATTAGCCTTAATGATCTTAAAGTGGAAATCAACATAGAATGATGTGTATGACAAGGTGATACAATATCACCTATCCTTTTCTCAGCCTGCCTTGAAGAAGTATTTCACAAACTAGACTGGGCAAAAGATGGGAATAAAAATCAGTGACACTATTTAAATCACTTGAGATTTCAGATGATGTTGTTCTCTTCTCACAAGATTCAGAAGAACTACAAATATAGATACAAGAGCTGCACAAAGCTGGATAACCATTTGGCTTAAAAATAAACCTGAAAATGTTGTAAATGTGAGCTTGTTGCCAACATAGTCAGATGATGAGGGGGGAGGAGGATGCTTAATATTTTAAAGCAGCTGAAAGCTGCTTTATGGAGCTGTAAAGCATCCTTTCTGCGGCCATCTTAACTTTTAATTGTTTTTAAACAACCAGTCATAACTTGAGGATTTATGTAGTTGTTGAAAATAAGTCACTGATCAGTGGTGAAAGGCAACATAATGAAAGAAGCATAAGCACTGGATCAGACCTTGAAACACACACATATTACAAACTTAATTTTTCTCTCACATACTTCTGCAGTGCAGTTATAGTCAGTTATGCAGATATCTCAAACGTTACAGCCAGGAGCCACTGAAATAATTTCCATGGCCACTCATTCAGTTGTTGTCACAGTCATATGAAGTTCTCACTTATCGACCTGCATGGTCCTGGGGTTATAGTGGCAGCCAGCACTGCTGGGTTTGCCATTGCTAAATGACATCACACTTTGCAACCACAGTTCTTTTGGAGTGTAGAAAAGCTCTGCTCAGTAAATAAAGTTATATTAATCGCCTCTGCAGTCAATATTTTATTGAAATTGGTTTGAAGTACTGCCATACTTCTAAAACTAATTATTTCATGATACATATGCATTCTACATATTCCTTGTTGAGCAACTGTTTCAGGCAGTGACTGACTAGTTACAATGGTAATAAAAAGTGAATAAACTGTGACCAGTCATTGCATTAATGACCTTCACAAATCTGTAAAGCAAAGGAAAGCTGAAGTAATAGAAGCACAGTTGTAGTTTTATTTAGTGACTGCTTTTCTTAATGGCTGAGATGCAAGTCTCAGTTGTGATAAATGAGGACTACTTGTGCTTTCAAATACACATTCTGAAATTTAAAATGTAGAGTAAACTATGCCATTCCTGGTTTCATTAGGAAATTTTCAGGGTTCTCAATCTTTTTTTCTCCCTTTCTGCTTTTGAAAAAATAAAATGTTTACAGAAACATAAGATAGATCTGTTCTACAAGCTACGCCATGTGATGAATGAACTGATTGATCTTCGCAGACAATTACTTTCTGGTCATTTGACCCAGGATCAAATTCGAGAAGTCAAGAGACATCTCACTGTACGATTGGACTGGGGAAATGAGTAAGTATGGTTCTAGTTTTGTTTAAATAAAGGTAATTGTGGTGAAATAACAGAATTTGAAAATAGTCAGAAGCTTTATATATAGCCCACATATTGCTATGCTATGCTCTTTTGGGATAAACAGTATTATTCAAACCACAGAAAAATAATGAGAAGAAGTGAACAAAAGAAAAGGCAGGAGTTAAGGCAGTAGAAAAAAATTCTTAGTAAATCTAGTTTACACTGACATCATTCAACACATATCTCCATGCTTCCTTTTCTCATTTTTGGCTCTTCCATCTCTATACATCATACTATTTGCTCTTTAAACTTCCTACTTTTTCTGGATTCAACGCATTCATCTGTTACTTTTTCAAACTTCCCTTTTCTCTCAGTTTTTTTATTATCTCTCAATAGTTTGGTGATTCAGGCCTCATTCATATTCTTTATATGACCAAACTATATACAGTCCTTGATTTATTACCATTTTATTACAGCTATTCAAAGTTATGATGACACTAAAAAGGTGACTTATGATTAGTCCTCATAACATCACAAAATTGTGTTTCCCATTTGGTTTACCTGTGAAATTTCATTTCCTCACTTTATTTAGCACTCCTCTATATGAATATTCCTGAATATTAAAAAGAAAATTTGCTTCTTCAAATCCCAACAGCAAGGCAGTAGGAAACAGCAGTTAACTATAGATAAGGCTTAGGTGAGCAAGGTGAATTTCCAAGTCCAGGAGTCCAAAGTCAAGCCAAAGTTTTACGACACCGAATCAAGGGAGAGAGATCATGGTTAATCAACAAGCCAGGATTGTAAATAACTAGATTCCAAGTGTCAAGATAGGCAAGCCAAATGCTGTAGTTGTTTCTAGCAAGAGACCATTGTTCCTATGGAAATGTAAATACTCTGTGCTGAGTATGCACAGCTGTGATCAGACAGTGGCAGTGAGTTCAGCTTCTTGCTGCTTGCTCATGAATTGCACACGTTAGCAAGTTGCAGAGATCCCACCTTCCCAGAAGGAATTGCAAGCCACTCATTCTTGCCCCATCTCTTGTTTTACCATACATATTTTTTAAATAATAAATTTCCACTATATTCAATTTACTTTTATGTTTCTCCTGTCATATCTTAATCCAATTTGCATAAAAGCACACTCTTCTAATCAGCCACTTTCACTTCTTCCAATAAATATTTGTTCCTTATAATAGACCACATACTAGCCCCATGTTTCTGTCAGCATTTGTATCTGTTTCTCCATCACTTTAACCATATTTGGTAGGCTTTCTACAAGATAACACAAATTCATTTGCCCTGATTTTTCTCTATTTATATACAGTACAACTTACAATTGTTTCCTCCATTTTCCTTGTAGTACAAACCTTGGTCTTTAATATATTAAGTTTCAGATCTGTATACCTCATTGTGCCATATAGTTTATTTAATATTTGATGTAAATGTTCAAATTCTCAGAAATTTGGCATCATTCACATAAAATGTACAAACATGTTTATGGATCTGCAATTTTGCCTCGTTACAGCAAACAGCCTGCTTTACTTTCATTTTCGTTTTCAGCATAGCTTGATTAGCACAAGGAAAAAAAAATCTGCTCCAGCAATTTACCTCTTTGGAGCAAGCAGCTGAGCCTGTGCAAAACAGCTGAGAGCAAATCATTGAGAGTCGGGAGGCCGATCCAATCAACTTGTGCTAATTAGGCTGTGCTGAAGCTGAAAGGAGTTGTTTTTTCTTGTTGTTTGCTTGCATGGAGGTAACTGCTGTGAGGCAGAGGCAAAAGGGTGGGGGCCAGTAGGTGGGCGGGGCTACATTCGGTGTATAAGATGCACCTAAATTTTCACCCCCTTTTAGGAGGGAAAAAGGTGCATCTTATACTCCGAAAAATACGGTAGTTATTACCAATAAAACCAGTGGTGAAATACACATTTTTTTGCTACCAGTTCTGTGGGTGTGGCTTGGTGGGCATGGCTTGTGGGGGGGGTCATGTGACTGGGTGGGCATGGCCAATTTTTTTTTTTTACTTATTAAAGCATTTTTTACTACCTATTCGAACCAGTAGTAAAAAAATGCTTTAAAAAAGAGAAAAAAAAAGTTCTGACAATTGCGTGGCACAGCTGATCGACAATCAGTTGTGCCACACAATCGTCGGAACCTTTTTTTACTTTTTTAAAGCATTGTTTTTATTATCTATTTGCCCGAACCGGTAATAAAAAAAATGCTTTAAAAAAGTAATAAAAAGATTCTGACGATCACGCGGTACAGCTGTGATTGTTGAAACCTTTTTTTTACTTTTTAAAGCATTTTTTTAAAAGCAGTTTTTATCACTACCGGTTTGTCCGAACCGGAATGAACCAATAGCATTTCATCCCTGAATAAAACCGTACACGGCATCCCATAATTGTATAATATATGTATACAATCTATCTATCTATATATGGTATATTTATATCTATCTATCTATGGCAGTGATGGCAAATCTTTTCGGCACCAAATGCTGAAAAGGGAGGGTGCGCGCTCGTGTACTTGTCAAAGCCGCAACCTAAAGAGCTGCTCAGGGCGCATGCGCGCACCCGAAAATGAACTTCCGGTTTTAGCTACTGAACTTCTGGTTTCATTCAGCTACTGAACATTTGGTTTCAGCCAGCTACTCTTCCAGGTTTCTGGCACGCATGCACACGCGACGATCAGCTGGCCGGCACGCATGCTTACGAAAGAAAACAGAAGACCAGCTCTTCTAGTTTCAGGTACTGCTGCATACAAAAAGGCCAGCTGATTGTCGCACGTGCATGTGCACCAGAAACCAGGAGGAGGAATGGGCAACGCTGCACGTGCCTGTTGACATGCCACTTCGGGCACACGTGCAACAGGTTTGCCATCACGGATCTATGGTATATATGTGCATATATTTGTGTCTGTGTGTACATATATATGATAACTGATCACTTGTTTACAGGGGAAAGTTCTACATTCAGACTGCCATTATGATCAAACAATTTGACCATGTCAGCTAATTGTCTGGGGATTTATATTTTATATTTTAACTCCTAATCTGTCATGGTATACAAGTGTGCAAGACTTATTCCACTTCTACACCAAGAAGTCTTGACTAGAAAAAATAAATGGAATTTCTAAAAGTGTAGATATTTTTAAATTTTATTCAAATTTAAGGCTTTTTATTACTTGGATAGTTGGACTATCCTTGCCCATGGAAAGGGAATCAGTGAATACTTCCTTTCTCCCCAATCTCTGTAAATGTTTATTCAGCAGTTTAGTGAACTCACCAAATAGGCAGCTAAAAATAAAAAATTACATCTGCACAATCAAATTTGAATTTTGTTTGTTGGACACGGGGGTGCATCTTACCCTATATCAGGCTGTGTTCAAGGCTTATTACTCCTTCAAAGGTAGGCCAGGTCAAGAAACTGGCACGGTACTTTATTGTACTAAAGTAGAATAATAAAATCTGAAAAACTTGTCTTAAGTTTTTATTCTACTGGTACTAAATACAATCAAGAGATGGATATTTTGAGGGGGGTTTTCAGGATTCTTTCTTAAGATTGTGTAATCTTTTTTCAATCTTCCTTCTTAATAGCTCATATCTTTCCCTACTGGTTCTTTCATATCCCAGCATCAGTTCTAAATTCCTTCATACTATCTTGTTTGCCAAAATCATGCAGGCAGCAGGAGGTGCATTGCCCCTCCCTCCCCCAGCACTCTTGCCTGGATTTCTCACCTCTGGCTGCTTAACAATCCACATGGTCCTGGGATTTAAAACAAAAAGTGGGACTCCTGGAATTGCTGTCACTAAGTGGCCACGTGACATTTTATGAACATGCGTTGAACATGCTTTATGCTTTATGAACATGCTTAATGAACATGCTTGGTAATGGCAATTCCAGTCCCAATTGCTGTTGTAACTTGAGGACTAGCAGTGTAATAAGTGAAAATTTTCTAAGTTAAGATCACTTTCCTAATAACTATTCCTTACACTTTATCAGATGGATGTATTCATAAGAAAGCCCTCACATAAAGATTCTAAAACCCAAATAACCAATCAAGAAAGGATTATTTTTAATTTCATATTTTACATTTTATATAACATGAATATACTTTATCCACAATATCTTTCAATATTGGGAAAGCTGCTTTACCTTATAAACTGTCACGTTCCATGTAGCTGACAACTCCTAAGAAGTGAAAATCACACTGATTTCAGAAAAGTATGTTTCATGATAATCCAGGATTAAAACATAATCTACAAATTTTAGAAATAAATTCATGGGAAGATTTATAAAAAGTCAATTAAGGGGGAGTTTCTTTGAAACATTTTCTTCCCACTCCATAATTTAGACTCCATATCTGAACTATGTGTCTTTCCTCACTCTATCTGAACCCTTCTCTTGTTTGTTCATTATCCTTTTCCAGAATAGCGTTGAATGATCACAGTTGAGCTATAGATATTCTGATATTGTTGCTTCAACTCAACTTCTGAGTACTACTGCATTGCATTCATTCGTTTGTTTGTTTGTTTGATTAGATTTTAATGCTGCTCCTCCCAAAATGACTCTGGTCAGTGCCAAAATCTGTGTAGTGTCACATATTGTACTGTTGTTAGAATCTTCAGCATTCATTAGATAGGTATGCTTTGGATTTTCAAGCTTGTGCAGTGCCATGTTTGAAGTATTCTGTCTCTTTATTATCAGTGCTATATGTATACGAGGGTCCAGTGCAAATCAAAATAATTAATGGACTTGCTAGTACCTCATACATGTGCCTGCATAGACTTATAAAAAGTGCTTCCTGAATGAAACCTTTTTACTATAACACCTCGTAGTAAAGGTTGAACTATTATACTTGCTGTGATGTTTTTGATACAAGTTATCACTGGGTAGTGATAACAGCCAGCTACTAAATAATCCTAACATTAACAATATGAGGTTAAGTACAGATTCCCATATGTATGGCAGGATGAATAAACACTACAAGCATAATAATTGATTTGAGGATATATGGTAGCATAATTATAACGTGAAGGCTGCATTGCTATATATACTTTTAATAAAGTAAATAGAAAGCCAGTTTGCTATAGAAGTTAAAGTGCTGCAAGCCAAGAGACTAGGTTCTAATCTCTAATTTTGTCAGATAAACGACCTTGGGCCAGTGACTTCCTCTAAGCCAGGGGTGTCAAACTCAAGGCCTGGGGGCCGGATCTGGCCTGTGGGGTACTTATATCTGGCCTACGGGGCTGCCCTGGAAACAGCGAAGGACCAGCCCACAGTGCTGCTGTCAGTGAAAACTAGCTCCCAAGCTCCGTTTTCACTGGCAGAGGATTGCAGGAAGCTGTGGCAGCTGAAAACAGAGCTTGGGAGCCCGTTTTCACTGGCAGAAGCACTGCGGGCTGGTCTAACAACCCTGATGCTGCCCACAATGAAATTGAGTTTGACACCCCTGCTCTAAACCATAGTAAAAGTTGGCAATGGCAAACCAATTTGGAAAATACTACCATACAGAAATCTTGTCCATTTAATTGTCAGGAATCAAGACTGACTTGAAGACATCAAAAATAAACCAACAGTTACAGGAGGAGAGTTTAATGGCTAAATAGAAATTTAAGCTCAGGGTTCTCTAATCCAAGTCTAAGTGATATTTCCTCATTATTGTGTTAATTATGAAATAGAGCAATTGACCTCTTATTAGAATGTACAGTATTTTAAGCAAAGAATAGGAAAATGGGAAGCATCTTTGCTATGCTTTAATATGAAAGCTGTTCTCAAATCTGAATCCTCATATCTGAAAAGATCTAATATGCATCTTGGAGATATTTTTAAAAATTAATTCTGGGTTTGTTGGTTTGTTTCTTCATAGGCATTTGGGCTTGGATCTTGTCCCACGGAAGGAGTTTGAGATTGTCGATTCTGATCAGATCAGTGTGTCTGATCTATACAAAATGGTAAGACTGTTCACGGGGAAGAAGGGTTTATGGAAGAACAGTTTGTGTAACCAGAAAATATTTATGTAACTGTGACAAGTGTGGTATATTTAGGACTGGAAAGATTCAGAATCAAATCCCCATTCAAATGGGTGATTTTGGCCAATCAATCTCTTTGACTAACTTAAATTAAAGGATTGTGGTGAGGATAAAATTACAGTAGGAATACGTAACACCCTATTTCAGATTTTTCTGTATCTCATATTCGAATGTGCTTGCAACGAATGCATTAGTTTAAACTATAATGATGAGGATTACAACAATAATAAATAAATACATATTTTAATTTTCCAAGGTGACTAATTATCACCTTTACTCTTTCCCAGAATGCTGGTTGGGAAATTCTGGCAGTTGAAGTCCACACATGTTGAAATTGCTAAGGTTGAGAAACACTGATTTATACTATGAGTGGCACCATTAGCAACAATTCTGAACAAGACAAATCGTGCATATAAATTGGCATAAAACAAATAAAAAGTTTGCATTTACTTTATATGAATGATTTAAAGTTACTTGGAAAAATAAAGGCTGTACTAGTTTCCATATTAATAAGCACAAAATAATTCAGTAAAGATATTGGAAATTTGGCATTGACATGTGTAACCATATTAATAAGGCTAGACAGAAGTGTTTAATGTGATATAATACAGCTTAATGAAGATTTCATAAGGCTATAGCACCAGAAGAAGACTAGAAATAATTGGGAGTTTGGAAGCTTCCAATTCATTACAGAATCAAGTCAAAACATTTCTACCAAATACCAAATGAGTTCAGAAAATTTTGAAATCAAAGCTAAATAGTGGAAACATTATTAAAGTAATTAATATCTGTGCACTCCCTATTATTCGATATGTAGCAGCAATAGTTGACTGGACCCATATGGAATTTGAGAACTTGGATTGGAAGATAAGAAATGACAGTATACCCAATAAATATTTGCACCCAAAAAGTGATATTGATTGTATTTGCTGTGGACAGAAGATTCCTATAGGTGAAACAAACTGTGAAGGGAAAAAAACATTGCCTGAATGACTATATTCAGCAGTATGTTCCATTTGTGGATGAAACTCACAAATGGAACATACAGCTAGAGGGATATAAATTATTTAAAAGAAATAGACCAAATAAAAGAGGAGGTGGAGTTGCACTATATATAAGAAATAACTACATCTCTACAGAAATAGAGCACAACAATGATGAAAATTATCTTGAATGCATTTGGGTCAATATTAAAGGGGGGGGGGAATGACATTGCCATAGGTCTATACTATAGGCCACCCAACCAAACAGAGGAAGTAGATGAACTTTTTGCTAGTCAGCTAACTAAGGTATGTAGGAAGTACATCACAATAGTAATGGGAAATAGTAACGAGAAAGTGGCAAGAAGGTTATTGCTTAGCATATTGTAAGCCGCTCTGAGTCTCCAGAGAAGGGCAGCATATAAATCAAATAAAAAAAAAAAAGGTGACAAGCAACAGGGAGAAAGCAGAGCTACTTAACTCATTTTTTGCATCTGTCTTTACACAAAAGGAAAAAACGGTCTAATTTATCAAAAACAGTACCACAAAAAACAGATTAGGAACACAAGTTAAAATAGGGAAGAAAATGATAAGTGAACACCTGTCTACCCTAGACGAGTTCAAATCACCAGGAGCAGATGGATTACACCCCAAGGTTCTGAAGGAACTGGCAGATGAGATCTCAGAACCACTGAACTATCTTTCAAAGATACTGGACCACGGGGGAACTGCCAGAGGACTGTAAAGAGCTTATGTAGTTCCCATCTTCAAAAAAGGAAAAAAAACAGATCCAGGAAACTACAGACCTATCAGTCTGACCTCAATACCAGGAAAGATTCTGGAAAAGATAATCAAGCAACGAATCACTGAACACCTAGAAGTAAAAAAAGTAATAACCAAAAGCCAACATGGTTTGAGAAAAACAGATCATGCCAGATTAATCTTATTGCATTCTTTGACAAAGTGACAAAATTAGTGGACCAGAGGAATGCTGTCGATATAGTTTACTTGGACTTCAGTAAAGCATTTGATAAAGCAGACCATAACCTACTACTAGATAAAGTAGAAAAATGTGGGTTAGACAGCATCACCACCAGATGGATTCGTAATTGGCTGATCAACCGCACTCAATGTGTAGTCCTCAATGGAACTGCATCTACATGGAGGGAAGTATGCAGTGGAGTACCCCAGGGCTCTGTTTTAGGCCCAGTGCTCTTCAACATCTTCATCAATGATTTGGACGAGGGGATAGATGGGGTATTCATCAAATTTGCAGATGACACCAAGCTGGCAGGAATAGCCAACACTCCAGAAGATAGGCTCAAGTTACAGAAGGATCTTGATAGACTTTAACATTGGGCGCTATCTAACAAAATGAAATTCAACAGTGAAAAAAGTAAGAGTCCACATTTAGGGAAGAAAAACAAAATGCACAGGTACCATATATGTGGTACCTTGCTCAATAGTAGTAACTGTGAGAGGGATCTTGGAGTCCTAGTGGACAACCATTTAAATATGAGCCAGCAGTGTGCAGCAGCTGCCAAAAAAGGCAACACAGTTCTTGGCTGCATAAATAGAGGGATAAAATCAAGATCACGTGAAGTGTTAATACCACTTTATAATGCCTTGGTAAGGCCACACTTAGAATATTGCATTCAGTTTTGGTCGCCACAATGTAAAAAAAGGTATGGAGACTCTAGAAAGAGTGCAGAGAAGAGCAACAGAGATGATTAGGGGACTGGAGGCTAAAATATATGAAGAACGATTGCAGGAACTGGGTATGTCTAGTTTAATGAAAAGAAGGGCTAAGGGAGACATGATAGCAGTGTTCCAATATCTCAGGTTGCCACGAAGAAGAGGGAGTCAAACTATTTTTCAAAGCACCTGAGGTTAGAACAAGAAGCAATGGCTGGAAACTAATCAAGGAGAGAAGCAACTTAGAACTAAGGAGAAATTTCCTGACAGTTAGAACAATTAATCAGTGGAACAACTTGCCTGCAGAAGTTGTGAATGCTCCAACACTGGAAATTTTAAAGAAGAGATTGGATAACCATTTCTCTGAAGTGGTGTAGGGTTTCCTGCCTAAGCAGGGGATTGGATTAGAAGACCTCCAAGGTCCCTTCCAACTCTGTTATTCTATTTCTATTTCTACATTAAGAAAAGAACCTTGATCAAGGAATCAGTCATGAAAAGTTCTTGAAAACAAGAAAACTGAAGGCTGAAATAGACAAGAAATAATTGAAAACCAATTTGTTAATTGGAAGAACAAGCCAATGCATGATTCATTGGAAATTTTGCTAAAGGTTTAGATTGAGTGTAGTAAAAAAATACTGGGACCATGAAATTGAGAAAGTTTTGGAAAATGAACACATTAAGATCTTATGGGACTTTAAGATCCAAACAGGCAGGCGTTTTATTCATAACATGCCTGATATAACAGTTATTGAAAAGAAGAAAACCTGTTTCATTGATGTTGTTATAATGGGTGAGACTAGAATTGAAGAAAAACAATGGAAAAAAATTACAAAATATTGGGACTTGGAAATCAAAGTTGATCACTTATGGAAAAAGAAACCCATTGTTATACCAATAGTGATTGGAGCCTGTGGAGCATTACTTTAAAAACTCCTTCAATATCTGGAAATATTGAATTGATCCAACCTGAATACCTACAAAAAGCACACAGTCTGTTAGAAACTACCTATATTTTTAGATGCTAGCTTAATAATATTTAGATCCTTAGTTAGGACTTGAATTATTAAATTTCCAGCATTCTTAGATGGACTTAGGTTAACTATAAATTTGCCAATTATGCACTCAAACTAGTATACCATGAAGACTTGTTGAATACTAGAGCCTACAAGAAAGACCAAATAAAGAATAGAAAAGAGATGTCAAGGCAAAGTATTACATGACCAGCACATTTAAAAAAAATAGCAGGGAAAACAGTATAGTATAGGACCTTCCAATGGCTAAGACTAAGAAAGTTGAAGAAAGAAACAGAGGGTCTAATTTTGGCTACATAAGACCAAGTATTAAGAACAAACGCATAAAAAGCCAGAATTGAGAGGACAGCAACAGACAGCAAATGCTCTCTGCAAAGAAGCTGAAGGAACAGTGAATCACCTAGTTATCTGCTACAAGAAGATTGCATAGAAAGAATGACTACAAACAATCGTATGACAAAGTGGCAACATTATTGCAAGAAATTTCATTTCCTTGTGAGCAAGTACCAGTGGAAATAGACAAAGTAGTAATAGAAAATGAAAACTGGCATTTCAGATTCAAATAAACAAGCACCTGCCACATAACTCCCCTGATATAACAATTGTTGATGAGAAAAACAAAAAGTCTGGACAGTATCTGGAGTCAGCAGAACAGATGAGAAAGAAATGGAGAAAATCACAAAATACAAAGACTTGGCAAATACAAGTCAAATGACTGTGGTAAAAGAAAACAAAAATAGTAGCAATAATAATAGTTCTGGGTGCAATCCCAAAACATCAGGAGCATCACTTGAACACCAACGACATTAACAAAATCTCCATTGGTCAATTACAAAAGGCCACTATTTAGAGCAGCTTACATCTTGTAATGATCTCTTTAACATCAGATAACAACATCTGCCTGTCCCAGGTCTTTGGGAAGAACTTGATAGGTGGATAAAAATGCCTAATCCATCTGACTCTGCGACCAGCCATAATATGTATTTACTTAATATAACAGGATGATTGCTAATTAAAGAAAGAAAGAACTTTAAATGACGCTGAAAATTACAAGGTTTGTTTCAGTTGAGAAATCTACTGTGAAAAATATCCAACTGACCCCTTGGGAATGTAGTTGCAGATAAATTGGTACTACAATTCCCAATGCTTTAGTTTGATTTGAGTGGAAAAGATTCCCTTTGAGTAAATATTATCTCTTGGAAACTGCCTTGACAAG